GCGGTGAGGCCGTGCTGGCAGTGGCTCCCCTCACACCGCGGTGAGGCCGCGCTGGCAGTGGCTCCCCTCACACCGCTCTGGAGCCGTGCTGGCAGTGGCTCCCCTCACACCGCGGTGAGGCCCCATGACACATTCCTCGCTGCTTCGGGTCACGGTCCAAAGAGAAAATACAGAAATCGTCGAATCATTAAAGTTGAAAAAGCCCTTCGAGATGATCAAGTCCACCCTTGGACCAAATAAGACTGTGCCCACCATACCATATCGTGGACTGCGAAGGGCTGTGCTGTGTCATGAAGAATGAAGTATAATGAATGTGTGAGTGTGGTCCTGTCTCTGATGGCAAAGCCAGAGCGGTGCCAGGGGTGTGCAGTGTGGCTCCTGGCCCTATGTTTGGGCAGGTCTCAGGCAGCCTGAGGCAGTACCTGCACCAGAGCCTCAGTGCAACTCCCTGGCTGTGCTGGAGCTTTGCTGTAAGCGTGTGAAGAAATACCATCTTCAGAAGAGGTGCTGTGTTGACCTGGTTGCAATACAACATCTAGACCAAATGTAACACTGGCTATGAAGTACTGATATGCCACTTGGCCCAGTATATGCAGCTGCAGGAGCCCTGCTGCGTGAGAGGGGGACAATGTTGTGTACCCCAACCTACATCCAGTTTAAGCTCTTCAAACCACTTAAAGTTTCCTTCAGACCCCTCTAATTTTTTTTCTGAAGAAGAGTTCTTCTCCCAGCTTCAGGAACTGAGTGTGAATAGCATTACAGACCACGTGAAACAAAACAAATATTCAAAATCGTTTTTCAGGTGGAGGAAAACCATGTGATGGTTTTTCTGAGAACTGGCACTACACAAGTAGCTCCTGCAGGAGGTGTGGGAAAGATTTCTGTAAGAGTCATAAAAGCAACAGCACAATAAGTACTGCAGTGTTAATCTAACACATTGAGAAAGGCTTTTCCTTTCTGAAGGAACTGGCAGATCTGGAGATTTTTAGGTTTCATTAAGAAATGTCTTTGTCTCCTTACCAAGTTAAATATAAGATCTGGTTTTCCAAGAAGTTCACCCTCCGCACTGTGCTTACTTCCCGGTGGCTTTCAGCAGTTTGCATGAATAAGCGGCCTGTTGCACTTAAACAAAGCCCCCCAAACACTCACTCATCTTTTTCCTTTCCATGGCAAGAAATAACATAATGATAGTAATTTCAACAGCTTCAGTACAAGCAGCTTTACACCTAGTGGTAAGTATTATTTCCCTGGCTAGAAATAATTGGCACAACTGTTTTGTGGAGCTGTGCCAGCTTGAAACATGGAAGGATTTACTCCCTTGAGCTGCAAAGAGAGATGAAAGAAAGAAAAAATTAAATGTAGAAAGGCAAGTATAGAAACAAATTCTTTTTTTTTTTCAGTTCCATTGAGCTATAAAGGCCTGATTTTTGACAGTGTCAAAAACACTGAAATCGTTTTCTACCAAGATTATCTCACAAAAAAGCTCATGCAACATCAAAGACATCAACTTCTATTGTCCATGCTTTCCTGTGCTATTTGAAGCTGAAGTGTTCTATTGAACTAAACTAATTCAGGTGAATATTTTCACTCATGACAATTATGAAAATAGGCACAAAAAATTTCTTCCTATTTTTGTAAGACAGCAAAATTACCATATACTGAACAAGCAAACACATTTTCTTACTTCTAACTAACGTAGAAGTAAGAATTAACTATCTGGGGCCCAGGCTTTGAAACTAAAGGTATTTCAATATCATTCATAGACTCACAAGGCAGTCAAATACATAACCACAGCTGGGAAAGACATGTCTAAATTGGGTTTCAGTTTTCTGGCATGGATGGATGCCAGCTGGGAGCAGCAGTGCTGCATGTAATGAGGTGATGCATGTAGACCCTGCAGTAATTTGTTGCCAAAGTGATGAACTGGGGTAGTGGGCAATGGAGCAGTCACAAAACAGGATAAAGACATTCTAGCAGTAAGATTTGTGGGATATGCCACATACACAATTTTTAAAACTAAACGTAAGTATTCAACTGCCATTCTACAGACTTCATTATTTGTTGTCCAGATGGCCTGGGAACCTTTACAAAGGGCCAAACACACTCAATGCCTGCATTTCAAAGGACACTTTCCTTGATTTTACATCTCCTGTAAGCTGCTTAAAAATCTTAAATCACATGGTGCCAGCTACTTCACTGAATTTTTTGGTGAAAGGGGCAAAGGTAAAGTTAAACTGAAAACTGTTGCTCATGCCCAAGTACACGTTGCCTGGGTCTGTAGTTCTTGCTGTTCCCGGAGGAGTTTGCAGTCGCACCCGACCCCATGCTGGCACACCATGCTGCTGGCTCAGATAAACAATGCACACTGCAGTATCACCCCTGAATAACTGTGGGGGACATAGGCAGGATGTGACCCTGAACAGATTTTCTTGTACTTATGGAAGAACAGCACTGCCTTAGCAGGATGTTGACCCTTTCAACTGGAATAAGGCCTTCTTTACACCTCATTTTAAAATGCTTCACAAATATATCTCTTCTAGCCAAAGAGTTTGAGTTGTCAGGAAGGGGGAAAAGTCACTGGCACATCTCTGTGCAATGACGTGGCCAGGCACAGACTGCAGCTAGGTATGACAGATGGAACCAAACCAAACGCTAACATTTGGTCACAAATGATTACTAAATGCTTACAAGTAACAGATACACTCACAGACTGGCATTTGGGAGTGACACACAAATGTAAAAAATAAAAAGGGCTAAATTCCCTGCTGAGTATTGTCATGACAAATACTGATTGGATGTCACATTTTTCTCTGCAGTCAGAAGTCAAATTCAGCTCTACCCAAAATCACCCCTGGTTTAATTCAGTAACATTAGGGGATAGGTTTGGGCTGTTACGGGATTTTCCCTGATCCTCAAATGGTTTACTACTGTTGGCAATCAAATGGTGTCAAACATCTCTGGTGCTAACTGGTATTTCAGGAATTGAAATGACACATGTCCTTCAGAAAAGATAGGCTGAATTTTCCCATTCAGTTGCTGAATGGCAAAATTCATGTGTATCCATCACACATCTGTACTGTGTCTTTCTTATGGAGTAGTACTGTTTCCTTCTCTTTATACCTTTTGAAGAACTAATACACTTCCCAGTACAAAATAATTAAGCACACATTTAAGAGATGTGTGCTTTGTGAGATGGACCCTGAGTGGGCACAAATGGAAGCACAGGATGGCTGAAACATCAAAAGAGGAAGCAAAGGCTGGAGACAGCCCATTTCCTCTCTAGGGGAGTAGGAGAAAAGAAATGGTTGGGAGTTTTCCAACACAACAGGTTTTCAGCAAAACATTCTGTTTCAACAGAAAGATCTGATGCATTGAAATGGAAATGTTTTACAAAGAAGCATCTTTCTCAGTGACCTTTCAGCAGAACTCAGGCAAGATGCCACTGAAATCCACCTGTTACTCTGCCAACTCAGTTGGAGAACTCACCACGCTTGCCATGTGAATCACAAAAATTAGAGACACTGTAGCTTCTGGACTCCCTCGCCCTCTAACTCCAGAGCTGTGGTACCCTCCTGTGCCACCTGCCCTCATCATACTTTAGGGAAGATGGAAGTCCACATTTGCTCACAAGTCATTATTATTATCAGACTGCACAACCTCAGAGCTTGTAGGGGATGACCCCAGTCTTGTCCAACCTCCCCTTCTTGCAGCCACTTGTTTCCCTCGAAGTTGAACTTTGAAGTTGAAGGTATAAATTTGAAGAATTCTGTCCAAAACAGTCCAAATGATTGTGAATTCATCTACTATTGCTAACAAGCTAGTCCATTTATATTTGTTATTCTTGCTGCAAGTTTGAAAATATGTCAACCTTGAACTTGGCTTACTGTTTTAGTCTCTGTATCATATGCCTTCATTTGCAAGAGAGAAAAGCGCCTTTTATTCCAGAAGCACATATGCAAGGTGCACTCAAACCCTCCTAAGTTAATCCATGTTATTTCCCTTATGACTAACGTTAGATGAATCTATTGCTCTTGCTTACCCTTTGGCTATCCCCCAGTACTTGAAAAGTCTCATTTAAAAAATAAAATTATAAACATTTATAAAAAAAATGTTAATGATCTGAAGCACTTACATGGAAGTTGGGTTGTCTTGGCAGACAATTATATCTTTCTCTTTGGCAAATGGCAAATGTTTGATTGAAGGTACACCACCAGATGGGATGCATCCAGCTTGGGCATTCCTAGTACAGAGAAGGAAGAAGTAATCAGAGGTTTTGTCTTATTTGCATCATTATGCTTTCACTTTGGGTTCCTTGTCATCACTGGTGCAGTGTAACAGCTGTTGCAGCTAAATGAAAAAAGCTTATGGGCTCTGGTGCCTAAGCTATAGATTATCTTCTAGGTTGATGATTAACTCATTTTTGTCTGCCTCAATAAGGTATTACCAAATATAAGGTAATATAATTGAATATTATATTACCTCTTGCTATGGAACAGGACCTTTGGGTCTTTTAGAAATGCAATGGCTTTTTCAGAGTCATTTCTTTGTCTGTGATAATGCAGTTTATGCAAACATTGGAAGAAAGATATGGCAAGAGAAAAACTTACCAAGTGAAGAGCATTCACTTAGTGACCTTTCAGCTTTACTAAGGTTTCCGTTTCTTCTCACTAGAAAGCTGGTGTTGGTTATTCAATCTAAATTTCATTTAATTTCACTTGAACAGAATGTAGCAGTAGCATGGTCTTCCCCAAGGTATAGCAAGGGACAGACATTAAGGCTGGGAGATAGCTCACTACTTTTGTCCCATCTGATCCGGAATTTATTTTTAAATGAGATAGAGGCAGATACTAGGCACAGAATTTTATCCGATTTCTATTCAAACTGGAAATAAGAAAAAATATGTCATGCTAAAGAAGGTTCAAATGAGGTGGAGGTAATAATGTTTAATTCAGAAAGTAGCTCCTGTACCTTTGTCATGTGACCAATAAAATTGTAAACCACTGTCAGAATTAGCATTTGTTTAGCATGTTTTTGCAAGCCTCCGCTTACTTTGTGGTTAACAAACTAATCTGATTTCTTTAAAAGGCAGCGTTCTTGAACTGAAGTGACAGAGAGAGCTACAATTTAAATAATTTCAATATGCTCATCTTTTCCTGGGAGGAGCTGGAGGAGCAGGGGGTGCTGGGGAGCGAACGGAGGTGCCGGCGGAGGCGGCGGTAGCCGGGGCTGCAGCTCCCTCCAGCGCCGGCTCGGCGGCTTTTCCAGGGAAGGAGCCGGCCTCGCTGAGAAAGCATCGCACTCGGGGTTCCTGGTGTTTGGAAATTATTAATTAGCTCGCAGACTTGTCTGACAGGGTGGAGATACCTAGATTTCGAGCTTTAAAGGTAATAAATATGGGATGAGATCATGTATACAGTGATTTGCATGAGTATCCTTGAAACGGATCAAAGGGCAAATCGTATAAACAATATTAGCCCCATATGTTGGTTTGGGCAGGATTAAGATCTGGATGCTTGCAGACTGTCAAGACTTTCACATTTTTAATGCAGCCTGCGCTATTTCCTTTGTAATGTCTAAATGGGATGGGTACAGTGCCTGCTTCTTTCAGTATCTTGGTTAGCTAACTCTAATTGCCTTTCCTGCTAATGGCTAACTTCTACAAATAGGAGACATGTTTGAATTTGTGGAGGTCCTGAATCTCTCAAGGAAGAAAGACCTCTGGCACACGTATGATGGTAGCTAGAATCAGAGGGCTGAGGCAGATGCTACCCTACCACTGATTGGAGCAGTCCTTGATGAATCTGCAAGCTTCCTACCACACTTCTCAGGCTGGTCTGTAAGATAAATCACCTCTACGTTTCATCTATGGCTAAAACCCTAGGGGAATCCAAAGTGGAGAGTGAGCCTCTACAAGTGTTAGTGGTGCTGTTCCTGCAGCAGAGCTGCAGGACAGCTGTCCCAAAGTCTGGATCCTCATCTGGTTTGGATCCAGCTGCAGAATTGTAGCACAGTCACTGACGTGCTCCAGCTCAACACCTAGTCAAGCAGAGCCTGTTGGGTGCTGTGGCAGCCTGGATTTCCTAGGCGCAGCCTGGATTTCCTAGGCTCAGCCTTCCCTCTTCCAGGGCTGCTTTACTTTCCCATCTTTCCTGCTCAAGAAAAGTTGTTTGAGAAAGCCAGTTTTTTCTAAAAGTATAGGAGGGCTCTCTCCCGTCTCCTGTAAACACCATCAGTTTCAAACCCAACTCTTTCACCTTCCCAAGATTTTCTTAACTTTCCCCTACTGCTATCAGCTGCAAATTTCCTGCTATAGACCAACTGGCTGCTTTTCAGTAACTTGCTTGGCGTTGCTATGAGTAAAGACAAGGAACATCCCACAGTGCTATGCCACAGACCAAAATCACAGAAGGGAGAAAAACTCCCCACAAGACTGCACACCGTTCTGTAGTGGCATTAGAGGCCCAGCACACATACAGACTGAAATGTTCATACCTCTGAGGAACACACCTCAGGTTTCACAGCAGGTTTGGGTGGAAGCGGCAGCTTCAGGACATTTCTTCAGTCAGTGTGGGCTCAGACAGAAGAAGAAGAAGCTCTCTGTGTGCCAGCAAGAGGCAGCAAGTGACGCAACACACGATTTTCCAGAAGCACCCAGAGTACTTACAGATAGGGGCCAAAGGCATCCCTGTATTGTGTGAAGTGGATGCCATTCAAACACCCTACACCAGTGGCATGTGGCTATAGGCAGTGCACAGTGAATGTTGCATAAGTGTATTCATCAAGGGCCTTTTGAAAAAAAAAGCACAAATGTAAGTAAATAAGATCCAAATGTGTTTTATGGATACTGTCTAGATTCTTTTACATAAATACTCGTACTCATTCAAAACTTGTTCCTTCCTAAACAGCGTCTATTCTAGTAAAACCTCCTTGTCTGCCAGAAAGCACAGAAATCTCTCCATGGTTTGTGTGGGATAAAAGGAGCAATGCAAACATAACTAATGTAATGGTGACTAAATTTACCTAATGAATGAACAAATAATGCTGTTTTGCTTCTCTCATCTTCAGAGGCAATGTGCACCAAGTGGTTAATAATCCATCCTCTGTCCTTGCACCACACACTATCCCTGTATTAAGAAAATTCTACTGCAGTGCTTGACTGTAGAGGCAGAAATGTTAAAAAATCAAAGAATTGGTCTAGATAACAGGGTTCATATATTTGACTTTCTCCTGAATTACCTTTCAATAAATGTTTTCCCTTTAAAATTGTCCTGCACTTATTCTCCTTGAAACATAAATATTTTGATATTTTTTGCAAAAGCCTTCTTCTTCAGTGGAGTTCCTGAGCACACACAGTAAGGCAGTAGAGAATCCTGAAATTACAAAATACTATTTGAATATAAATAAGAGATAATAAATAGCTGTACTCGTTCCCTGTAGAAATTATAATACTTGTTGAAAACACACTGGAGCAGGGGAAGGACTCCTCTCTCTGAGAGGTAGCAGAAACAATCTGTGATGAACTGACCATAACTCCCATTCCCAAACTCTCCTGCTCCACTGTGGGAAGGGGTGGAGCTGGGAAGAAGGGTGTTTTGAAGGTCTTATTTTACTTCTCATTATCCTGCTGTGATTCTGTTAGTAATAAATTCAGTTAATATCTCTAATTTGCATCTGTTTTGCCCATGACAGTGTTTGATGAGAGATCTCCCTCTGTCCTTATCCTCAAGCCATGAACCCTTTGTTATATTTTCTCTCCCCTGTCCAGCTGTGGAGGGGAGTGATAGAGTTTTGGAGGGTGTCTGGCATCCAGCCAGGTTCAACTCAATACACACAGTCTCCCACATTTTCAGCTGGTGTTGCAGAATTTACTCTTATTGAGTATAAAAGTGCTTGGCTTGCTGGAGAGCATTGCAGGAGTACAGGATCCTTCCCGAGACAGTGATGCCAAATTATAATGTCATTTGTATTTATCCGAGTAGTTCTATTTATAATAACCTTTCAGGTGACCCAATTGTACACTTGGTAAAGCATGTCTAAAGAAGATTAGTTTTTATCTTTCAGAGTATGAAGTAGTGTACTATATAAATACTGCAGCTTAGCTACTGTCTGTTTTGAATGTCAGTTAGGATCAGGTAGTGTTTATGTGCTCCTGAGATTTAGCAGTTTTTAGTCAGGATTTCTCAAATTTGCATCAAGCTGAAACTTGGCATGAAAGCTGTCAGCATAGATGCTAGTTTTATTCCAAAAATAGATTAAGTTGAAGCTTTTAAAGGTGTCAAGTGGCTTATTTATGCGGTGGTTGCAGATCCTTTAGTTTTCTGTCTCTTTCAACTATAGAGAAGCTTACTCTGTAACCTTCCTCCAGCATTACTACATTCTCATAAACAAAAGTAATTGAGAAAACATCTGAAATGCTACCCAAAATGCTAACATATTGCTTGATAGCACAGTGAAAGGACAGGCAAAATCCCCAGCACCCGGTGGTTTCCTAACACTCCCATTGAGACAAAGAATGACCTTCTTTCAGGGATCACTGAAACCTCCTCCAGGCTGCAGGATACAGCTCCACCTCCACCATGGTATTTATTGAGTATGTATATTCAAGTCCAAGGCATAATGACTCAGAAAACTTGTAGTAGTATGGATCTCTTACGTTCAGTGATCTATAGCACGGTTTGGGTGGTAACAAACTGCCCCTCATAGAATAAATCAACCCAAATATATAACCAGAAGTGGACCCCTTTGCTCTATTTCTTGCAGCCAAAGAAATGCCCTCTGCCATAACCTAAGCTCTGGTAGACTGGAAAACAAAACTAGGAGATTGTAAAACACAGGAGCTTCCTTGCAGAATGTCCTGCCAACAGCTGTAGGAGAGGGCAGGTCAATGTAAGCATGACATACAACCTGTCCTCTTTCCTTTCTAAGAACCCTGAAGGACAGGATGGGGAAGGTAAAGCCAGGGAAGGCCTGCCTAGTCACAGATCTGTCTGCAACTTTAGTTTCTATTTGTAACAAGTAGAGGCAATATCCAACTATTTGCATCATGTTGATATATTAATAAATGATATGTAGGTTTTTGTTAATTTTGGCAGTTTTAAGAATACTTACAGGTTACAAGGACTGTGATCAGCTTTCAACTGAACTTAGTAATTTAACACAACCTTCAAAGTCATAGCTGTATTTTTTTCCAGTGAGCAATTTACTCTTTGTAAAAGCACTTGTGCCAGTGCAAGTTAGTGTGCATGACTTTACTCTTCTTATGAAGGCATCCCTCATCTGTTTAAAAAACAAAGAGAAGTTGTCACAATGGTTGCAGAAAAATATTTTTTAAGTTTAGACCCTTTCATTCTACTGAATCAAACTAGACCCAAATACAAATAAAGACCCAGTCACAAGATTCTAAGCTTGAAGCATTAGCTCATATGTAATACATATTCAGTGCTCAATAATTTTATATTCTCTGAGGAATGGTAGAATTTCAAGACTCACTGGCTATACCTCTTTTTGGAGATCTCCAGCAGAAATTTCTCTTCTAAAATCTACTCCATAAAATGCTCAGCTGTATCAAAATAATAGATGAGACCATATCAAGCTCTATTTTGTGGTCAAGATGTGCACACCTACAATACTCATGACATGCAAACATTTTAGTCTTTCCTGTCAGAATGAAGTAATTTGAAAAACATGAGCTAATTTAGCTGGGCTTTCGACAGCTGTGGATGAGAACTAATTTCTGGTCAGGATTTGAAATCATGCCAGCAGGAGCTTACTCTTAAACAGATGCTCCGGAATTCTATTTGGAAGGTCACATATCTCATGTCATCATTTGATGGGTACCTGGTCAGAAGTCTCTTCCCTTCCTGCTACAGCTGACCCTGTGAAACAGCAAACGTGTTTTCTGATCTGGTGTGCTCTATGAATCATTTCTCTAAAAGGTTATTTACAGAAAAGTCAGGGTCCATTTTCTTAACTCTAAAAACATGGAGGTTAAACCAAATCCTGTTTGTTAAAAATCCTACAACTCTCAGTGTTGTACAATTCTGATTTTTTAAAATAACTTCAAAATTTAAAAATAATTTTACAAATAAAAAAATAAAAAGCCCCAAACCTACAAGGGATTCTTCTTTATCAATCCTTTGGTTTTGAAAAAATATATATATATAAAAATTTAGAGATTGTATTTTTCCCTAGTGAGCATAAAAATGAGACAGCCCAGAAATATATAGGCAGAAGAATGGAACACACCTTGTCTAGATTCTTTTTGTGTCTCTTAAGACTCCATGAACACCAGGTTTCATTGCAAGGTTTTCCCTCAGGAAACATCAAGGTTTATGCCAGAGACTTCTATCCCCCAAGAGTTTCAGCCGTACCTGTCTTCAAGCAAGGTAAGTTCAAGATGGGTATTTTTGGTAGGTTGCTCATGCTGTTGATAGTTAGTAGTGCCTGTACTTTAATGAATGCTTCAGTTCTGGTGTGTTCAGTTCTGTTTTTGAAAGAAAGAATCTGTCCAACCTCTCCCACCCTACAGCTACCTGCTGTCATCCCACCTTCTGCTGTGTTTGCAGGAGCATTTTGTGCGGCCTTGTAGAGCTCTGGTGTGCTTAAGCCAGGGAAAAGCTCAGAAAGGTTGGTACATCATCCTTGAAAAGATGGTGAAGGCCAGGAGTGGAGTATGGGCTCAGCAGGGGCTCAGTGCAGTACCTGAAGGTCAGGCACCAGCTCCAAGGCTGGAACTCACCATACTGGTATGGGTGCTGTGCAGGAAAGGGCGGCTAAATCAACCCCTGGGAAAGACTCAAACAGGGCACCCCTGGGATACAGAGCCCAAGTTCACTTCTGGTGCCTGTCTGCCTACACATGCACAGAAGGGGAATGTGCACATAGGTTATATTTTGCAAGAACTGCCCAAAAAAGGTACAGTGAATATTTTTTGCTTGTGGTGTGATTTGACACATGACATGCCACAACAGTCTTTCAGGGCACAGAATATGATCTCACTATGTATCTGGTATAATTAAGGATGTATGACTTAAGTACCAGTTCATGGCTGTAGCCTGAAGTGATACCACTGGACTGAGATACAACATTGTGGTTTTACTTTCCATCTAGGGAATTGTAATATGTGCTAAAAATACTGTTCGGCATGTGGAAATGAAGACTGTTATCTCGTGCAGAGTGGGACATGGAATGTCGATCTCTGTAGAAGTCACCACAGAAGAGGGAAAACAGACATTTTAAGGAAGCCTTCTTGTGTTGCCAGCAAGATAAGCTGGGGCTGGGTTGATATTCTTTATCTCTCTCTCCACTGTGTCCCTTGCAGGATGAGGAATGATCTGTTTAGAAGTGAGTCATAGCTAAATAAAACATGCATAGGTAATCATTTGCACCATATTAGGCACCAATTTTCCATCACATATTGTATCTATGTAGCTACTGGAGATGTTGTTTTCTTCCCTGTGTTTTTTTCATGGGAAGATGCATTTATTTTTAAGCTGTATTTGTCACTCATCTCTAGGGAAACATGGAGGGGATACTTGAGCCACTCTGTGCCCAGGCTCTACTATCCCAACTCTGGGTGGCACACCATGACTGTGGTTTAAGAGAGCATCCAGAAGAGAAGACTTGTTCTGACAATCTTTTTAGAAAAAGTACCCAAGATCCTGTTTGAAATTATGGTTACAGACAGCAGCAGCAATTATTTAAATTGACACCTCCAGGTTCTATAATCATAGAATCAGGAAGGATGGGGGGAACAGGGAAATTTATACAGCAAGTTACTTGTGAAGGACAATAAGCAAATAACCAAAATGTTCTGGACAAATAACAAACTAACCAAACTGATTGAATTTTAGCCTTAGAGAGCTGTAGAGACAAGTCCTGCCCATTTTATCCATATGAGTAGTTTCACAGACAAAAATCTGCTTCTTAGTAAATTGCCAGTTATAATAAAAACAAATAACTTGTTCTTTTGTTTCTCTGCTGCTATGCATTTTAATAATTCCAGACGTACTCATTAAAACTGGTGCTTCTATACTCACATGTTGTAAAACACTCTTGCATTACTGCTAAACCACTCCATCTCCCTTTTCTGTCTGAGCATCAATATAGCCACAGAAGAGGCAGAGGAAAATAAAAACCTCCAGAACAGGTGCAAAAGCAGGATGATGCAACTGTCTGCTCACTCTGCCCACAGGAGCAATGTGGCACCTCGAGGCTGTAAGCACGCATCCAGAAAGTGGCACTGAGTGAATTCCATGCCAAAATGTTGACAACATCTGATATGTGCAAGAGGGCCACTGAGTGCACAGAACTGCATGTCCAGCGGAACATAACACCATGTGAACACCACTGGGGTTAGATTTGCACACAGTAATCATTTATTTGCTATAAAAACAGATGTGCCTTATAATTGCATCTAAAAGGTGCACTCCCAAAATGAACAATCCAAAACCTGTATGAAGATAAAGGTTTCATCACCTTTATAATTTATATAAAAAAGTTTTTCTCCATTTTCTTATGTTATAAGCACCAATTTTAATAGAGTATGGAGTGACATCTCTGTTAGGGGTTTTAAAATATTTTTTACTTTGTCATATTTTTGTTTGTAATTACTGTATATTATGAGGAAAAAGGAGTGACAGAGCACCAAGTTTTCTTTAAAAGCATTGTTTGTTTTTCTATACTATCCATGAAGTACTCAAGGCTATTCAGGAGAATCATTATGTTTAATATACACATGTACAATACTTAGTCTGAAAAAAAAAAATTGTTAGACATTTACATGGAGCTGTTGGTAGCATCTCTTTCCTGAGCAATGATAAATTTAGGAATCTGTTGGCAGTTTTATATTCTGCCCATGAGAAGTGACACCTTAAAAGGCTCACTTTGTGCCCATTCTTCTCAGGAGCATTACTGAGAGGGTAAGTGCCTCAGCACTGCAACAGCTCTGGAGGGAGAGTTCACCCTATTGCTCCTGTGAATGGGGAAAACTGAGGTAAAATAATATGAATTTGGACTTCTGTCCACACTTCCAAGAGCTACACTTCAGAACCTAGTGGACCTAGTGGAGTTCTGTACAGATATTATTCATCCCTTTTTCTGAAGCCCCTGAATCTGTCATGCTCAGTGTTGTTCAGAACTGGAACAGGCCCAAAGACAGCTGGCAATCTGTGTGTGATACAACAGATCAGTGAATGCTAACAGATGGAAATAGGGAAATAACTGTTATGGGCTGCTCAGCCTTTTGAAGACTTGGTATGCAGGGATGGTGAGAGAGGGTAAAAACTTACAGTTTTCTAGGAAAAAAAATATATATTTTTCTAAATAGAAGGACTGCTCAGTGACTTTTTCTAGTCTACTTGAAGATTCATCTTAACACTGATGGGTATCCAGTGAGTTTGATATATATCCCCTTACACATCGAGCATTTTTGATGAATGATTGTGGAACCCTGTTGAATGGCTACAAAGTTGTGACTTCTGGGTTAAGGAGGATCCCCTTAACCTTAGGGATCTGTCCTTTGGTTGAAACTGGTCCCACCAGAGTTCAGCGCTGCAGTGATGCTCTGCAGACAGAAGTCCAGCACCTCTGGCTCTCATGTAGATTTAGCAAGAGAATAAAGCAGAGACCAGGATGCTGCCAGTGTCCACTGGTCATGGTAAACAGATTTCAAACAGAAAAAAAATCACTTGAATCTTTGTACTGCACCAAGGATAACACAGTCTCAACCTAAACAAGTAAGAATTATTAATGGCAACAGACAGCTGGAAACACAGGTCAAGGACAGAAGATGTCCCTGCCCTGGTAGTTTTCCATTGGCTCATGATGCAAAGTGACCACCTGACTGTTCTCCTGGCCTGTTGTAGTCTCATGGGCAAAGCACTGACTGTGATGAACTGGGGGTTCATGTGAGCTCAGCTCACATGGTAAGTCAGACTCCAGACTACCAGTCTATGGGTGAAACTCCTCTGATGGCATTTCCTGTAAAGCTGTAGCACTGTGCCCTTTATTCTCTGCTGCATAACCTAGGGCCCATTTAATCAGAGAGGCATATTGCTTGAAACTGGCTGGCATAGTGGAGTTTCTGGCTAAAAATGATTGAAAAAAGAGAGAACTGAGTGATAGGAAAAGAAGCCAAACAATTAGTGGTGTGAACCTTGTTCTCCTTTTCAAAGTAGAACTAAATGTATGTGATTCAATTTAAAGTTAAATATATATATATATATATTTCATTTTAGTAAGAAGAAATTCTGAAAATCTGTTTACTGCCAAGCAGATGTGGATGACATTGGCTGGCAACACAGTAGTACAATGAATTTTTTTGAACATTGCCACAGTACATGCTTTTTTTTTTCTATTGAGATCTCACTACTATAATCCCAGCCAACTGAGAAGAATTTCTCATGTTTTGGATGGTAATAAATCTTCCACAAAGTGTAAACCAACACCTTGGGCAGTTTATCTGGTTGATACTACTCTAGATCCCACATTACAAATTGTTGAAACAGGAGAAGGGGCTTAGATACAAATTTCAAACATTTCCTTCCTAGTTTTGGTC